ATATTTTGCCCCAACCACCAGAGCGCAATCTTTGGCTTCCCCCCCCCCCCCCCCCCCCCCCCCAACCCCTTGCGCTCACTTTGGCTGCAGGGTGTTGTATTGCTTTTGCAACGCCCGACCGATGACTTCCGCCCTTTTTCTTGCCGACATGCCGGCACACGTCTTGGGGTTTATCCAGCACTGTTTCACCGCGCAGGGTGGAGTTCTCACCACTTCCGGGGGGTCCGTGCTTTCGGGGGGGGGGGGTGATAAGACAGAGAGACCGATTTGGGGTTCGACAAAGAAGGGCAGGGCAGGGGGTCAGGCAAGAGGTGACTCGCACGAAGACAAAAAATGTGGGCATGCGCGGTATAAACCACACAAACTTGGTTTGGCAAACAAGATGGGATCCACCTGCAACGTGTTACGATTTGCGTGCCGTCTCCGGGAGGGAGCTCAGTTACAGCGAAACCAAAGAGAGAGGAGTGCAGAGACGAAGAGGGACAACGGTAAGGGGGGGTAATCCAGGGGACTTCCTCTCCCTACAAAGCCACCACCCCAGATGTGTGAAAACTGACAGTATCATATCTTTCAACTGACACCGCGTGCGCTTTCGGAGAAAATTGAAGGATCAAACACAACACAAACAACATCGAATGCGTGAGTTGAACGCAAGTCGGAGTGATCGCACATGGGGTGCGATTGAGAAAACTCAGGAAAAATCAGCTTGTTTCACCGTCCACCACACGCCTACAGCAGTACTACAGAAATGCAGTGCAGGATCCACCGCGAAAGCTGTGCACTACAGTACACTCTGCTATTTTTCTTCCTCTTGATGAAATTGTTCGTGAAAACTCGAGTCTCTGCTTTTCAAAGCAACATGTCACAAACTACAGGCCCGTTTTGCTTTCCTTTCCTCAACCCACGATGATGTTTCAAGCGCTTGTCCCCTTCTTCGGCCCGTCCAAGACTTGCATACTATACAAATACAAATACATGTACACCCTGAATCGCCGTCAGTTTCAGTCATCGCCAACGGCTCGTATGAAAATGCTGCCGCTTGAACAAACGCGGGAGGTCAGCGACATCGCCACCACCTCCTTCTCTGCTGTTGGTGTTGAGACGACGTATGTATGTGCCCAGCACATCCGTGGGGGCTACAACATCAACCTTGACGTTGGTTGTCTATATTTGTCATCTCCACACTCAATGTCGTGTATCTCCACAAACAATTGCTGTTTCAGGTGGTAGTACTGCTGTCGAACGTTCAACTGCAGCGAATAATCTACCTTTGACACGGACCCCCGCTTGTGTGGTCACAACAACAGCAGCGGCGAAAACTCCGTTCAATTCCCAAAAACAGCGACGATGCGTCGTGCGCATGTAGAAACGCAAACCAAGCGCTTTGATTAATCTCTTCGGCGAGTGCGTCGGAGTTATCGTACAGGGGGTGCGAACGAAAAGAAGGCTCAGGTAGCCATGTAAAAACCGCTCGCGCACCTGTACGTTCCGCTCGTTCTTTGTATTGTACAGCAGTATTCAGGTGCATTTAACGATTACCGTGCACACGTACATATAGAGACGTAAATACACGAACGTGGCACGTCGTATCTTGCTGCGTAAGTAAATGATGAAGGTCGGACCCCTCTAGACCCCGACCCAGACATAAATTTAAATTGTGAGGTGTCCAGATCGAAATGCATTTTCAAGCTGCAAGATAAGCGTGCCCCGTGTGCATCATTGAGGTGCAAAAAAGGCTGGTTTTCAAATGTATGATCTGTTGACAGGTAAGCTATCGTACAAAAAAGTAGGTTTCTGCCTGTTTATGTTTCTATATTTCCAGTATTGTCAAAGCTGCTTGCTGTGTGGAGATATCCATCTACATGCGTCGTCCACAATTCTGCAGCGATGAATGGGGAAAGTCACACAGATGCGCCCATCATGCGCAAGCAAATGTCCTGCTATGCATACAGCAGTACCAGCAACGATAATTACTTCTGACTAGAACGGAGAGCGAAAAAATATCCCAATCATAGTCCCGATCCGACAACAAGCAGGATGCGGTTCGGCCGTGGTTTTTTCCGCCGATCTCCATTTCTTGTTTTTTCCAAGTGAAAACATTGTATGCGCACCGCGTGTGACAGCCAGCCGTGTGGCTGGGACCCTTCGATCCTCTCCTGTCGTTGATCGACAATTTGTTATGTAGTGTCTCTTCGTCCAACTTTGTTCAAAGATTCAAGACCATCCTAGCAGTGGGTCATGTGTGCACGCAAGGCCTCTCTCGCTAGTGCTCTCCGAACAAAGGCGAAATCAGCCAGCAGCGCGGATCCGTACAGTAGTAGCAGCAGCTCGGGCTTTTATTTCCGCCCTAGAATATGTTGTCAGAAAAGAAATTACACATGCATAATGAGGCAATCAATGATGTCTTCCGCAGGGGCTACATTTCAAAATTTAAAAAGAGGCCGTCCGTCATGTGTGAATGAATGCGGCACAGCAGCAGTGCATAGGTAGCTGGGTGCAGTACATGGGTCGATGGGGTGGGGTAACTGGTGTCCGTTGTGCATTGCAACAGGAAGTCCCGACACCAAACAGCCTTCCATGATGCTCTTGATGGCATGCTCCCCAACCCCCCCGAAAATTCTATTCGACTTTGGTCACAAGCTGATGCGCCACCAACACGCAACACAGCAGTCGTTCTTTGTGTTTGCGGGCGAGTGGCGACTGCGCGGTCGAAATTCCGCAAAAAACTCCACAATCAAGAGACGAAAAATCCATCGCTGCTGCTTACCTTACATGACACTTGTGACCCACCATGAACAACAACGCTACGCTCGGCGAACAAATAAATGATAAGAGTAGTAGCACAGTAATACGCACCGAAGTTGAGGCACAGAATGATCCCCACGTTGAAGGTCCTCGTTAGCTCCCGCAGCCTCCAAGCGGATGCCGCCCTCCTGGCGGTGCTGCCCGCCTCCTCCTCCGCCGCCGCCTGCTCCCCCCCGCCCCCGCTCTCCAGCGTCTCGCTCGCACAGTCCCCCGCTCCGAACGCGCCGTCCTCCCACCGATGCCGGTCCTCGCTCATGAGCGTCGGCTCGTCCAGCCTCGCCTTGACAAGATCCTGACACTCGGGACACTTGGCGTTAATCTCCGGGGCAGTGCCGCCGCCGCCGCCGCCGCTGCCGCTGCTGGTGGCCACCACCATAGGCACGGGCAGTATATTCTCTGGGGTGGCTTGAACCCGCAGGGCCGTGATGATCGGCGACCCGGAGCCTCCCGCCGCCGGCGGCCCGGCTGCCCTCCCGCTGCTGGCGGCGGCCGCGAAAGCCGCCGCCGCCGAGCCCTTGGTGGCGGAAGCGACGAACCTGCCGGAGGCGTTCACGAACCAGCTCTCTCCGGCGGGGGCCTTGTTGTGCTTTGCCGGCGCAGGACCTGGGACAAAGTGAAGAGTCTCGTTGCTGCCGCGGCGTGGTTGTTGTTGCGGCTGGGGGTGCCACCGACTCGATGCCTCCTGCTGGCGGTGTTGGCGCTGCTGTAGCTGCTGCGTTGTTGTCGTGGTGGTGCTGCTCCGGCCGTTGCTGGCGGCCGCCATAGACGTGAGAAAGGTGGAGGTGTTGCCCGTTGTTGTTGATGATCCGTCCGCTCGACGTAAGTGCAACAGCAGTTTATTTCTGGGCTCCCTGCTGCTGCCGCTGTCGACAGCAGAATCTCCTCCTCCTCCGGCGCGGTGGTGTCGGTAAGGCTTTGCGCCTAGCGGGGTTAGCAGGCCAGTGCTGCCGTGATCGCCAATCCTCCCCAGCCACGCTGCTCCTCCCTGCTGCTGCTGCTGCTGCTGCTGCTGCTGCTGGCGAGTCTCTCCCGCATGCCCCGCCGCATGGTTTGCTGTCGGTGTCGGCAGAAGCATTTGCTGTTGTCGCCCTCCGCCGCCCGTGATGCCGCGCGAAGTCGGCAGCAGCACCGACGCAGCAGCAGAAGGAGGAGGTCCCCCGAAGGAATTTCTCCCGGAGGCGGGGTCCGCCCTCTGCTGTTGATGCTGCTGGTGGTAGTGGTGGTGGTGGTGTTGCTGCTGTTGCTGGGATTGTTGCTGGTGGTGGCGGTATTGCTGCTGCTGCGGGTCGGGCAAAGCGCGACGCGAGGGAGGACCAGCGGCAGCAGCAGCAGCAGCAGCCGCTGTTGCACGATCAGCCACGCACGGAGATTCAGCTGAATTGATTGCGAGGGCTGGGTCGGGACCCATCTTGGAGCGGGCACTCGCCCGCAATCTTTGGGGCTGCGCCCTCTCTCGGCGGCGTCCTCGTCCTCGCCTTCGTCCTCCTCGCGGCTCGCGCCCCTTCCCCCCTCTCTCCTTAGTGCTCACGTCGCTGCGTCCTTTCTTGCACGTAAACTGGTCCGATTTTTTTGGTGCGCTTGCTGTAAAAATCTCTCTCTCTCTCTCTCTCTCTCTCTCTCTCACCCCTGCCTTCTTGGCCCTTCCAGTTCCGTTGCAACGTTACCACAGCAGGGCAAGAGCCTGTCACCGAAGCACGGTCAGGGTTTACCCCAGAGGTCCGCCGTCCTCCTACTGGAGATTCGGGGCGGTTTGGAGACTTCTCGCGGGTGCACACGCACACACCATCAAATAATGTGAAAGTTTATTTTTTATTTTAGCCTACAGGGGGTGTGTGACAGCGATTGACGGTTTTTTGTAGCTGGGGGGCTTGTTCAACATCCCGAACATGGAACGCGTGGTCTACGAGAATGAGGACCCCCCTTGCAAACTGCGTAACCCCCAAGTCGGAGAAAAGTGGAGAGCGAGCGCACACTTTATATCACGAGATAGAGAGGGTGTCTCGGCTCTCTCGTTGTTGTCCTGATACAGCTCCCGTTCGTACGACACGTACACACCATGGTAGCGTCGCACGCTCTGATTCTCCTGGCGCTGGCCGCTCCCGCCCTCGCCACGCCCCCCATCCCGAAAGAGTTTTTCGAGTCGCAAAAACGCACCGCGGAGGATGCCAAGGTCGCCAATCGCTTTCGGGCGTGGATGGCGCAACACGGCGTGACGTTCGGCACGAAGGGAGAGTTCGACCGTAGGCTGAAGATTTTCGCGGAGAACAGGTACGAAGAAGGGGCTTGGGGGGGCGGGGGGATGTCTCTCTCCTTTCCGAAGAATTGGCATTTTTTCAACTTGATTTGAGCCAGTTTGAAGTTGAGAAGGGCGACGTCTGTGCAGCAGCTTGATGGCAGAATGCTACCGCAGTGTACGCCGCCAGAGGGCCCGTGTATGGCGATCGCTTGTTCTGATACGAGGAGTGCTTGAGGGGATGCCGACCTTGTTTGTTTTATATTTTCATTTGTCGTCGGGACGCTTGCGGTATCTATGAATCAAGTTCACGTCGGCCGGATGTTTCAAACTGAGAACAGCAGCAGTCCGGCGACCCTCCGCTTCTCCCTCACGGTATTTCTTTTGCTCCGCTTCTCACATGTGAGCACATATGCAGACACATGCAGCACACACGTTTGCTTGCCCGTACATGCGCCATGTGATGACGACAAGGTCGCTTGCCTTACCACTACCCGTCCCTCCGACTCCTTTAAACGGCGGCCGCTTGCCTTTCGTGCGAGAGCAGCGACCTTATCGACACACATAACACTGCCAACGACGGCTCGACTTTCACCCTGTCCCACAACGAGTTCAGCCACTTGTCGTGGGATGAGTTCAAGGAGACGGTGAGCGTTCGTTACCATTTATTTATTTATTTTCTTCTGTGACCCAACGAATCAATTTCTATCTATTAAAAATAGGAAAATAGTCTTAAGATATTGTTTGACGAGAGAGGAAGGGAAGGAGAAAAGCAAGTAATTTCAGGCCTTTCCGCTAGCGCTTGCTATTCTGCTTTCCAGGGAGGAGTTATCTCTCGCCTGCTGGTTCGTGTTTTTTCGGGGGGGGGGCAGTGGCGAGATAGCGTACCAGCGAGCGAAAGAGAGAGAGAGAGAGAGAGAGAGAGAGAGAGATGGGTGTAGACTGCTGGGAAATGTTGTGGGTTTCCAGAGGGGGCTGATTTCAAACGGGCCGTTCGTGTCTTGTTGCTTTGAACGTGTTGCTTTGAACGCGTCGAGATAGAAACAGAGCTCATCCGATCCTTTGGCATCTTGATAGTTCACTTGGTCGACGGGGTACGGGACCATCCCGATGGAATAATTCAAAACCACCGTGTCCCCTTTGCCCACCCCTCGCCTCGGGCCAAAAATATGGCCAACACATAAGTCTAGAATAGGCACATTGCAGGATGTACTATGGCCATGTCTCTCTTCTGTGTACTTCGTGTGAGAATCTTCCAAGGATCTGCGATGATAATCCCCGCGGAGTCGGGATCGCGTATTTATGTACTCCACTGCTCACGTAGCGTGGATAACCCAGGGATGAGGCATACCGCACGTCTCCCACGGGACCGTCGAGTTTCAACCCCCACCCCCCTCCCCCACAGACCCCTAGAGGACGGGGATAAGATGTGCAAGAAATTTGTATGGAGTTTGTGGCAGAAACGTAAAGAGCTCCCAAATGTTGTTGGTGTCTCTAGTAGGTGTAGGAACGGTGCTCCGTCTCCAAGGGACGCGTGGTCAATGGTCAAATGACTACGGCAAGAAACAAATGAGTACGCCCCCCCCCACAGACCAAAGTGCTCGAGATAGTATACTGCCAGTATTGAGCGTATTTCCGATGTTGCCATGTGGAAGGCCGCTGGGGAGGAAAGAGGCTATGCCCTCTCTCCTACATCTGCCTCTTGTCTCCTCCCACCCCCCCGCCTTCCCGTCCCTTCGCTTTCGCTTGGACGGAAGTGAGCAGACATAGCCACATCCTCTCTCGTGGCAGTGGGCAGCAGTAACATGTTCGAAAACAAACGGGGAGTGGTGTCGGGCGCTGTTTATGCGCCTAGGTCTTGGATCAGGCCAAGAAAAGTATGCCCAGGACGGAGATGAATGACGATATCGACAACTAAAAGTCGTGCTCTTTTTTACCTGGAAACTCCAACAACCACACCGACCCCCTTGCCGACGTGTTCTCCCTGCCCTTTGCCTCCCCCCCTCTCCCTCCCGGCCCGAACGCGCTCCACACGGACGTGGTAACCAACAATAGCACTTCGGGTACAAGCGTTCGAGCGACAAGCCCAAGCCCGCCCGGCAGACGCCGGAGCGCCGCCCGATGGAGAAGGTTGCCGGTGGGCGAAGGAGGCTGGTCGAGCTCACCGGGAGCGAGATTCCCGATGAGGTGGACTGGGTGCGGGAGGGCGCCGTTACGCCCGTCCAGAACCAGGTAAAGCTACACATTTTATTTTTTTCACTCCTTTTCAGTAGTCTACGCAGGTTGTTTCAAGTTAACATACTGGATAGAGTACCAAATGTGCTAAGTTGGGGTTGGGATAAGAGTCTGCGCGTCGTAACCCTCAGCTTTCCTCGCGTAGGAAGTCCCTCTTTTTATAGCTCTCCAAAAGAAAGGGTTGGCCGCTACGCCAGTGTCCAAAAATTTTGTTTTTCTGTTCACTCTTGTATATCTGGAAAAGGAAAAAATTGGTGGTATTTTTCTTTTCGCAGCAAGCCATGCTACTGCTGCTGGTAGTGTCGAGGAATGTACAAGGCATGAAGTAATGATGTGCTTACCGTTGAACTGCTGTTGTGGTTGTTTATGCGTAAACCTCGAAACTGACTCTCTCCCAGTTTGGACGCGCGCATGGTCCGCTGCTTTTCTCGTTGACGTTTTTTTTTTTGCTTCCGCCGGATGCTTTCATCGCAGGGCATGTGCGGAAGTTGCTGGGCGTTTTCGACCATCGGCGCCATGGAGGGGGCCTACTACCTGGCCACCGACGACCTGGTAGGTCGCTGGGCGTTCATATGGGCAAACGGGTCACGATGAAGTCCATGCATGCTATTTGAAAAACAGTTGCAAAAGTGTTGAAGGAGAACGTTGGAAGAACGACTCGTTCCCACACACCCTACCCCCTATCCGCAAAAAAAAAAAACATCACTTGCACTATTGAAACATGGTGTTTCCCACCCGATCCCCGCACGCCAAAGGCATACCCTATTGAACTATCGTGTTTTGCACCCAATACCTTACGTGGCGGACAGATCAAGTTCTCGGAGGAGCAGCTGGTCGACTGCGACAAGGTCGACAAGGGGTGCTTCGGCGGCGACATGGAGCAGGCGTTCGACTGGATCAAGGAGAACGGAGGCGTGTGCCCCGAGGACGAGTACCCTTACGTCGGACTCTGGCCCCCGTTCAAGACCTGCGCCACCACCTGCACGCCCGTCGAGGGCTCCCAGGTCAGAGGAGGTGGTGTGTTGTTGGTGATAACTCTCGTTCTGTTGTGATACCTTGCTTTGGATGCATGCGACGGCTCTCAGGTGACGAGGGTTGTCTGTTGGTAGTGCTCTCGTTCTGTTGGCATGTAGTCTTGTACGTAGTGACCATGGGAACTACCCCCCTGCTCCCATCCTTGATCCATTTTGCTGTCTTCGGCCTTACCCCGTACATGCTCGGTTCTCCGCTCCCAGGTGAAGGAGTGGGCTCAGGTCAAGGCCACCGACGAGGCCCTCATGACGGCGCTCGCGACGGTCGGGCCGATCGCTATCGCCATCGAGGCCGACCAGATGGCGTTCCAGTTCTACAGCGACGGCGTTTACACGGCTCCCTGCGGGGACAAGCTGGACCACGGTGTGCTCGCCGTCGGATACGGGACGTGGGAAGACGGGACGGACTACTGGTGAGGTTACGCGGTTGCGGTATGCGTGGGAGGGGCCCTTGGACGTGTTGCCATCAGTGTGTCGAGACGAGTGTGACGAAAAGTGATGGTGCTTTTGCTCGGTGACGTTCGTTGCAGCAGAGTTTGCGGAGAGTCGGCAATCATCGTCGTCGGGCCCCATCTTGGCAGCGATCCCCTTCCCGTTGTCGTGACGGAGTATCGTGAAGGAATTGGCCGTGTGTATCCCCTGGTGTGTGTGTTTTTCACGGAAATGTCTTCACACAGATATTACGGTAAGGCCTTGGCGGGCAGTGCCGTATTCTGACCATAAGTCGAGTCCCTGCGTCCAGCCGTCGTTCGGGCTTGAGCGTATTTTGTAACAATACACGACCCTCCCCCGCGCCCCACAAATATGCCCGTGCTAACCCCATGCAGGAAGGTGAAGAACTCGTGGGGCGACAGCTGGGGCCAGGGCGGGTACATCCTTCTCGAGAGGGCAGACTCGGAGGAGGACGAGGGCGGCCAGTGCGGTCTCCTCATCGAAGCCATCTACCCCATCCTCGGCACGCCCGAGGAAGACGCCGACGGGGCGGCGGAATTCGCCGTTGAGGCCGCCGAGATGACCGAGATGTCCGAGGCGGAGCGCGAGGCTCTTTGGGCTCTGGTTGACCCCTCCGACGTCGCGGAGAGGCCGGTGGGCTTCCGGTCCAGCGCCAGCGCGAAGGACTGCGGCGGCGGAACCAGCGACGTGGTTTTCCACGATGGTGAGGAGTTGTTTTTTTTCTTTTTTCGGGACCGGGGTGTAGGGGGGGGTCCACCAGCAAAGCAGCCGGTGGCTGGTCGCGTGGTCGGTTGACTTTTTTTGCGTCTTTAGCAAAGATGAAACCGCCAGAGTTCACCACGTGTTGACAGTCGTCGTGTTTTCTGGGCGCGTTGGCGGCAGCAGCGGCGGCAGCAGAGACAAGCAGTTGCCGACCTGCCGTTGCTAGCTCTAAGAGGAAATTTTGATGGCACCCACCAAAGTGGTCGCGACTATTCCGTCGTTCTGAATTTCGAACGTGCAATATCTCTGTCCAACCTTCTAACTCTTCCACACACACCCGCCCCCCCCATCTGCGACGCCCCTCCCCCCCCTCCCCCGTGACAGTGACCATCTCTCCCATCGCCCCTAGGCGCGGCCAGCCGGTTTCCATGATGGCCAAGGGAACCCTTACCAAGCCCCTGGCGGAGGGAGACTACAACCTGGAGGTGATGCTCGGCTCTTCGACGATCTACCAGCACGACGGCTCTCTCTGCGGGGAAAGCTCTGCCGAGGTATGTATGCAATACGGTTTTTTATTTTACTTTGTAACACAAACGAATCATATCTATGCACAAATACCAGTCCGGGATAAATTAACAATGAATCCATAGCGTTAACGGGAGCATTGCCTGTTTTTCTACGTTCCCCGAGCAATATACAGCGATTTTTTTGTTTTTCGCTCGGACAGAATGGCAAAAAAACGCCCACCTCGCGACTCTCATCACACTCCCCCGCAATGGTGGGAAATGCGCGTGGCACGTGAGCAGTTGCGTCTCGCGCAATTGGTGTACCCCCTGGAACATGGTTGTGCTTGTCAGACCCTACACCCCCCTCGCCCTGGCCTGTACTCAACTGCTGACGCTGATGCCTGTCGTACACTGTTTTTTGCGCTCCCAGCTGCCGCTTGGGTTGGGCTACATCGAGCTGCACGGCCTGCCCTGCCCGGCCACCCCCGGCCCTACCGAATTTTCCCTCGAGGTCACCCTGCCGGCCATCGCCCCCCCCGGGGACTACGACATCTCTCTCGCCGGCACGGACGACTTGGACGGCGGAGCTCCCGCGCTGTGCCTGGACGTGAAGGTCGAGCTCTGATTGGCCGACTGAGCCCTTGACAGACGGGAGAGCTGCCACTACTGTGATCGACCCGAAAGGGTATTTTTTGGTTTGTTGCCGCCAACGCTGTAGGTCGGTGGCTTCCCGTGTATCTAAGATTGGGATGAGTCGTAGATTTGGTGTTGGAGCCGCCCTCGCAGGCACCATCGCCATCACAGAGCGTTACATATCCCGTATGGGCTTGAGAATGCCTCCTGCGGGATGGGTGGGGGAAAGGGGTTGCCTGCAACCCCTCCGACGTATGTGCGGCCTCGACATGATTCTCGAGCTGTGTTGTCTTGGATTGGATGCCTCTGGTTATTCCCCGCTAAACCTATCGAGAACACCGCCCTCGCGCTTGTGTTCCAGCGCACGTGCGCTGGTTTGGTTAACCGGAACTGGGAGAAAGACTTCGTAAATAGCTCGCCTTAGTCTCATGATCCCAGATATACTTTCGCTTTGTTTTTTTGTCATGGTGCATAGTGTTTTTGTAAATACAAAGTGGACGAAAATGCGCCTGTAATTTTGTCTTAAGATGCGGATGGCGATTACCTGTGTGGTGGATTGGCTTTTGCACCACGGGCGGGGTAGGCTATCGTTGGTCACACGCACGGCCGCCTTGTCCGTTGCCTTTTTGTCGCCGGCCTCTTGTGTGCCTTGTCTCTTGTTGTCCATGCGCGGAGGACATGAACGTGTGCACTGCACCCAAGGGCGTTGTCTACGAAACACTCTTGGAACATCTGTGACGGCAGACCTTGAGTGTTATGATCGAACCGGCAGAGAGGAAAAGTAACGTGTCGAGAACGTACTTACCAACAATGTTGTTGGCTGGATGAAAGAAGAAATGACATTCCCGTTCCCGCCGTCATTTTTCCGCCAACGTTACGGGTTTCTTGGGCGGGCTTTCCGGTGTGTGTACCAGGGCTCGTGATGGAGTGTATACACGCCCGAACCTTGGAACCAGCAACTTGACTCATACAGACGCTCCTGCACGTATGCATAGAGCAGTCGAAATCGGCGAGTGAACCCATCATCTACAGCACACTTGATGGAGGCGTACTACTTCGTCGCCTACTTGGCGGATATACCGATTATGCTAACCGAACTAAACCTGTTGGTGATTGGTTGAGCACCGGTAGGGTGAGATGCGCTTGAGGATGGATGTAGACCCTGTGAGCACGTTGTGTTGATTCTGTCAACCATGAAAGCAACAAGTGTCTAGCGGGAACAGGGCGAAATCATGAAGATGATCCCCTCTTGCTTTGCGCTCATTCAACGCACGACATTCATTGAAGCAATTATATTGGTTGGGTGTGGTCTCGCAATCCCTGCTAGTAGTAGTGCTGCCAGGCGGTTCGGTGGAAGAGATCAACATGCCTGAATGATCGGCTCGCTGACCCTGGCCACTAGTCCACCGGGGCGACCGATAATAGGCAAGCTCAATTTTTGGTGAAGGCAGGCTCTTGAACCAGCGGCACGCCTCCGGGCACACAAAGAAAAAGGTTGTTCGGCGGCGACGCCTAGCCAATCTCCTTGCTTTAGAGAGAGAGCTGACACGAGAAAAATGTCTGGGCCACTGAAAACATTGAAAAAGGTACTGCTATCGCTTGCCGACTGTTGCACCCTCCGAGACGTCAACAGCCATCGCGGCGTCGAACACGTAATAACGACGGCTCCGACGCTGCCGTTTTCAACAGCTACTAAGTGCTGTGCCATTACGAGGAGAACGGTGACCCCGGCACGTTCGAGAACTCCATCTCAACAAGGCGGTGGGTTCTTTGTCGCTTCGGTAAGTCATCCCTCTCGAAAGACCGCCAAGATAGACATCATAGAACACCCCTCTCGTCTCTTGTAGGCGGCGGGAAATATTCACAACCAACCAGCGGACTAATACACGTGTGAAACTCATGACCAGCCCAAGCGATCGGCACCACAACGACCGGCCATCAGCAGTATTATGAAACGTCTGCGCCCACGTACACTGCGGAACACCGCCGTCAACTGCGCTCTGCCGAACCGAAACAAACAAACGTGTTTACAAAATCGACAGCTCTATCTCTCTTCCTGTACCAAGCGTGACAAGACAAGTCCGCCCGTCCGGTCAGGAAGAAATGCCTCGTCCTCCACCTCCGTCATCGTCCTCGTCATCGTCTTGGCTTTCCTGCACGCTAAACTTGACCGGGATCGACACTATCCCCTGGCCCCCCTCCCCATGGGGGCCTCCATACGGCATCACCAAGTCTGCGTACACGCTCTGTCGGTCCAAGCTTCGGTGCCTCTCGCTGCGCTCCTGCCTGCTACGAACCCCCCCCCGCCGGCGCCCGCGGGCGTCGGGGAAATGATAATCCTCTCCCTCGCCCTTGAAGGGAATGAACTCGGATACTTGGTCCGTCAGATCTCCGCAGTACTTTTCTCCTCCAAAATCGGGCGCCGTCGATAGTGATGATTGCGGCCGCGACGGGTCGCCGTAATCGTCAGTGTCCCTTCCCGGATGCTGCCCGGTCCACGCTATTCGGGACGAAGATTGCGACGTCGACGATGGTCCCCTTGCCGATGCCTTTTCTCCCCCTCCTCTCGCTCCTCCACCCCCGCCCCCTAAGTTGTCGATATCGTCGTCGTCGTCATCGTCATCATCGTGGAAATCAACCACGTCCTCAGCGATGTGCCCCACGTCATGGACGCTCATCGTGCTGAGGTCGCCACCATCGTAGTCCACTACGTCAGAATCCCATTCAGCAGCATCAGCATCATCATCATCATCCAAATCCGCCGCCCCATCTCCCTGCTCGAGAGACGACATGGATGTCAGAGTTGCTGTTCTTGTATATAAGGATCGTTGCGTGTCAGTTCGTTGCTTGAGCAAACGGTTCTACGTGATCGCCGCGTAAATTACCTCAATCAGCTTTCGCGCCTTTCCTGATGGCATGCGTCGATCGGGACAAAAAAAAAAAAAAGCTACAGTACGCTACAACGGCTTACACATTAAGTACGCCCGAAACGCACTCACACTCGGACGAAAACACAAAACAGGTACCATATTACTCAGCAGGCAGACACGCAATCAACATCCTCTTTTATCCCCATATACATCGATCACTAATGACAGAGGGAGGTAATGGATAGATAAAAATCGGCCTTCCCATGACGTCTCAATAACAGTTCCCGCCCCAGAAACGAACGCCCGAAACGCACTCACACTCGGACGAAAGCACAAAACAGGTACCATATTACTCGGCAGGCAGACACGCATTCAACCTCCATTTTTATCCTATGGTACATAGGTCACTAGGGACAGCGGGAGGTACTGGATAGAGAGATCGGACCGGTTCTTAACATGAAGAAAGTAACAACAACTCCTTCCCATGACGTCTCAATAATCGTCCCCGCCCCAGAAACACAACAAGAAGCTCCCGCACGCTTCCGTCAACCGGCAACAAACCGTGCCATATAAGGCCAATCCACCCACCTCATCGCTTCCCTCCACGGTAATGTCGAACTCTTGAATTTCTTCCCCGTCCTCGAAGTCGTCATCGTCATCATCGTCCTCTACGTCATCAAACTCGCCCATCTCAGCTTCGAGCCAGCTGCAACAACGAGGATGTATTTGGGCAGGGAGAGGGGTTGGAGGGTGACGACTTGGGACAAGTGACTCCTGCGACAAAAAACGAAGCTTGATTCGGCCGGAAAACCGGGATGCGACATGCAAAACCTTGCCGCTGGTCGAAAAATTCTAAGCCTAAATCACACTCACACATGGAATAAACGCGCACAGTCAACAGGTTGTACGTGCAGGCCAGCTGGAATACAGCACACGGCGCTAGCTGCGGGTGTACCGTCGCCAGCAGCGTGATCAAGTCGCGGTGTGCATCGTAACACGAGTATCCCCCCCATCAACCCTCCACAGCTTTCGATACGCACGCTGGGGGCATCAACGACACCCACATGCAGGCTCAACAGCACAGCAACAGTGCATGCTGCTGGCGTACACGTATCTTGAAAAATGTCACCATCTCATGGAAACCCACCAACCGGTGAGCCCGGGGATGAGGGCCGGCCTTCCCCGCGTGACATCCGGCGATGGACGAAAGTCACGCTGACAATCGCAAAACAATAGCTAGCACTCACACCCACGTGCCACGAAAGACGTAGCATAGAGTCACGCCTAATCGCTGGTCCGCCGACGAGCGCTAGCGATGTATAAGCTAAAAAAAAAAAAACACACACACACACACATTGTCTTCAAAGTCCTGCCCCCCGCCCCCCCTGTCGGTAGCACCCCTACCCTTACAGTAGTTTTTTTCTTTCAGTATTATCACTGGGTCCACGCGGTCGATGCTAACTAAAAAAACACACACTGTACCTCTGCAGCAGGGCATCCAACGCCCGCAGCTCGCCCATAGTAGCGTTCGTCCCCTCCACCTTCCACTCTCCTTCCCCTCCTCCGCCATTGGCGGCGGCATCACCCCGCACGCCCGCCGCCACCGCGCCGCCGTCGACCGGAGGAGGAGCGGCGCTCACGCTGACCGCCGCCGCACCCGGCAGCTCCTTCATCACGTACTCCACAGTGCGGAAGAGCGTGTCTTGCACGTGCGGGTCGAGGACCAAACCCTCGTCGTCAACGTGCTGGCACACGCGCAGCGCGAACGACAGGTCCCCCGAGCCCAGCGCGCACAACAGGACTGCCTCGTAAACCTGTTGTTGTTGTTGTTGTTGGGGGGGGGGGGGGGGAAGTACTCATGTTTTGCATTCCTTAGCTATAGTAGACCACGCGTCCTCAAGAAGTTGGGGCGGGGGGTGGTACTCATAGCCGTGCATGCCGTAGTCGTTAGACCGTTGACCTCGCATCCCTATAAAGCCGGGACGGAGCACGCCGGGTTTTTCGCCGGACCAGGGTGGGGGTCGTACTCATGTTTAGCGTGCCTTAGCTGTTAGACCATTGACCACGCGTGCTCGAGGAGGGGAGGAGTCACAAACACACTCAAGTTCGGAGACGCGGTATGCAGTCACGTCTTTGTTCCTGCGTGCGTGCGGGGAGCAGTTCGGTGACTGGCAAGTCAATCAAACAGCCGAAAAGGGAATAGGTGTGTTGGAGCGGTTGGAGGGGGAGCTGAAGGGCCAGGGTGGGCGTGGATTTCGGGTGGTGGGCTCGGCGTATCGCGAATTGTCGTGGCAAGCACACAGCACCCGCATGCATACGAATAGAGTATCAATGTGACAGAAGACAAGGAGGGCGTAGAGCGTAGCGTCTACGGTTGGGCCACCTAGGTCCTAGTTCGCGAGCACTGAGAAGGAAGGGGTGGCACGGCCTCGAACCGTCAAGAATTCGCTACTCGAGACAAACAACAGTCATGGCCGACAAGTACCGACGGGATGAGGATGGTGACCTCCTCGCTAACGGGAAGCACGTGCCCGGAGGTCTCCCACCGTACCACCGTCTTCCTGGGGTGGCCATCTCCAGCAGTGTAAGAACATGCTTGTTTTTCGCGCTTGGCTTCCTCTACGATGTGTGCCGCATTGCCTCTCACTGGTTGTTTATGCAACAGGAGTTTGGACGTACACTGCTTTGGTGTTAGAACCGTCTTGAACGCAAACAAAGCATATTCACCACCACCACCATCACCACCACTAACAAAAACAACAACAATAGCAGCAGTAAGGGACTCACCGCCGGTCGGGGGACCATGTCCCTCTGCCGAACGTACTCCAGGACGTTCCACGCCTCCATTTCGGTCGCCTCGCCCCGCAGCCCCTTAACGAACAGGGCAAGCGCCAGGTCCTCGCAAACGGGGAGGGGAAGACCTTGGTTGGCCAGGAAGGAAACAGGACGGCACGGAACACAACAGAAAAAAGAGAAAAATCACATCGGTGATTGTGTGAAAAAACAAAAACGAGCGACAACACCACGCGGCGCACATGTGGCATGAGAAATTCTGGCGAATCCCTGATGTTAATTGGGGGTATACAAAAACGTCCGTTTGCGTCTGTCTCGAGCCATCCTTGACGCTCAAGACGCGTCAAACAACTCGAGCACCATGCCGCGAGCTTTGTGTGGGAAAAAATCACACCCCTTTCGCCACCAAATGGTCGATACACACCAACCGCTGTGCCGTCTACGCCCCGAGACATCATCGACACGGACTGACCAAACTCTCATGCATCAAATTTGTTGGTGTTGTTCTTGCTGCTGTCATGCCCGCATCAAACTTTAACTATGATACAGTATGCGCATATCTGACAGGGTACACTATTTCTCCTTACGGCGGTAAAAAAGCACGCATCGAAATTGCAGAGTGCGGAGTTCAAAAACAAATGTGCGCGGCAGTAGAATACGTGTCGCGAGCACTGGAAAGCGAGAATGGAGTCCACGGACTGGACGCGCGCGAACTACTCATCGCGGAGGTTTACTACTATCGTCTGTTGGTGGTGGGCAGGCGAGCGTTGGCGTAATGCTGGTACAAGTACGTTAGGCGGGGATACACATGGCAAAAACAAACCTAGCTTGGAGAAACTTTGTACTTCTCCGTGAGGAACAGTGTGTGAGAGGTCTCGACGCACTGCATGTGAGGCTGACGCACACAGAGAGAGAGAGAGAGAGAGAGAGAGAGTATGTAGCGGTGTGAGCGCCCATTGCACTATGTGGAGATAGCGCGAGAGAGGGAGAGGGAGGAAGGGGGAGAGAGCCGTCGCCAGACCTTGGCAAGCTGCAGGAAAGGTTGAGATACGGGATGGAAGAGACAGCACCCACGGCGTGTTGCTGGAAAGACCACATAATAACATCCACAGGCACTACACCACCGCTCCTCGACTACCTGGTACGGTATGCCTTCAAAAGAAAGGATCACACTACTACCGTATATGACACAAGATAACACACCCCCTTGGCCGATTTTCAAAGCTCAATTTCTCAACAGCAGGAAGAGTCACAGCGCCGAAAACGGCGGCGTTGGAACCGTCTCGTCGAGAGCTGTTCGAAAACGTATTGTTTCGTTTATGCATCCTCTTCGTCGTGGAGTAATCGAGCTTTGAAAATCGGTCCAGGGGGTGTGTTATCTTGTGTCATATACGGTATACAACTGTCGATGGATGACACTTGCACGTCACACTAATCGCGGCAGGAATACATAGATGGAACACAGCCACGTCTGCATGCATTGAAAAAGCACCGCCTGCTGTGTACTGTGCTGTCGGAAAGCACAGCGTGTACGGAACACGAAGCGAGCATTGGCGCGGCAGCACGGCCGTGGAGCCAGCGTGTGTATGCGCGCGGGAACACGAGAGAGCAAGAGCATACGAAGCCGTGGCAAAAAGAGAGACAATCGGACCGCGCGGAGAATGCGATGCACTCTTTAAATCCAAGTGAAACGAAAAAGGTGAAATGGGTGGCCTGTGACAGCTTCCAAAATCGGAACGCTGGCGTGTCAGCAGTCCAAACGGAAATGGAACTTTGGCACTCGCTGTAATTTCACGCGCAACAAAAATGACGCAATCGTAACCGTCATAGCATGAGGACGGCTCAAGTTCCGCGCTCGACTCACAGATTCCCCGCTCCGACGCCTGTCTGAAGTGAAGCAGCGCCCGGTCGATGCGAGCATCGAGCGGAGCCTGTTGAATGCCCCCGACGAAGCTTTCTTGGCGGAGACAAGCGCACATGACGTACATGAAGGATGCCTATTTCGCGGTCGGCGTGGTCGTTTTGAGCACCGGCGGCGGTGGTGGCACGAACACCTTGGGGTAAGCTTCGTCTCTATTTCTCTTCGGGCATCGTGTGGTTGCAGTCGCACAGCAGCTAGTCACATGCTACACAGTCGTCATCACAAACGTAGCAAGTGCAGAGGGTAGAAGTTGCAACGATCTTTCGTATGGCTAGAGAGGGTCGGTCTGGATCGTGCCGATAAGGCTTAGCCTGCACAGAACCGCTCCCTCGAAAGTGCGAGGGACAGGGCAAGCAGGCGTAATGCGCAACGCGCACATGATGTCCTCCTGTCCTCGCTGTTGCTATGGAAGATGAGCGTGATAATCCTTGACTTATTTCTTCCATGCGACGACACATGATTTTTCTCCACTAAAATGGTCGTGCCTTCTTCATGTTCAGTCTAGCTGCCTAGCAGAGATTGACTTCGCCCCTCTGCGTGGTGTTTCGAATGAAGAACTGGATTTCTACCTTCACTAGTGTAGCCTGGAGTTTCACAGAGATGCGCATAAGACGTTCTGCGAACTGAAAATGCTTGGGAGCTGGCGATGGGCTCACTTTGTACTCAATAGGACTCAAACAGTGCACCCATTTCCTTCCTCTATGTCTCTACTATTTTTCTGTGAGTCTCTCTCTCTCACTCTCTCCCTCTCTCCCCCTCTCTCTCCTTCTTCCCCTATCTCTGTCACTTACAATGGTGGACGAGTCCCTGCTATTGAACGCCGGCGATACTACCGCATTAGCCAGTAGCTCGCTCGCCTCGTTCACCATGCCTTTCTCGCACAACAGCTCCAGCAGTTGCCGCCTGCGGAGCGCGACCAACTCCTCCCTTAGCGCCCGCTCTTGTGCGCCCCTCTCCCTCGCGTCGCAAGAGACGAACGCGAAGTGCGCCATGGCAGCGTTGGCGTCGCCCTTCTCGACACACGCCAGGAAGCGCTCATGAACGATGTCCTCAGTCCCCGGCACGACTTTTCCGTTCACCACCGCCGCTGCGACAAGGTTGGTGTCGAGATTCGGTGGCATGTGTGAGAGGGGTTGTCATCATGTTGCATGCCTTGCTACTTCTATACGACTAGAGCATCGACGCATCCCAGCTTATAATGTGGAAAATCCGCGCGTTCACGTGCTTTGACGCGTGCGAACACGGGTTAGGTGACGGTATCCAATAACAGCAGGAAGAGGTTTTGGAATATGTTGGGGAGCAAAACAAAATCGCCACGTAGTAGACCATTTCCATGGGCATCTGCTTCTTGGATTTCTGGGCGGCGGCGTGACCTATTGTTCCACCTGTTGCCTTCGTATTGGCCACAGCTTCTTGCGTCAAGACGGGATTGAAGTATCGACAGAGGTGTCATGCTGCGACCATCTTGCTTGTCTGTGTAACTCCACAACTTCTCATCTCCAGATTTTATTCACTCTCCGGCTCAAGTGTTGTGCGGTGGTGCTGGGCGCATACCTTGCGTCTACCATAAAGAGCAGGGTGTGGAATGACCGGGAGGCATACCTCGACAACCCCACAGCATGGCTATCTGCGTGCCCCCTGAGTTATGAGGTTGAAGCCTACATGGCTCAGATATTTTTCTCTCCAAGAAAGTCAACATCCCATGCCAACACAATCGTGGATCGAGAGCGCATTAACCCCTGTCTATCTCATAAGCACGCTTGTACTCCTCCATGCACAGCGAAGTTCGCAAGTTTGATCAAGAGCACATAAGCGACCCATGCCAAAAGAGTGCGAGTGATAACCGGACTTGTGTGCTTGTTCAAACTTGGCTGCTTGGGCAGTCAGACTTCCCACGCAGTCAAGCTTGAACAACCACACAAGACCGGTTATTTGCTTCCGCTCTATTGGCGTGGGTCGTTTACGCGCTCTTGATCCACAATTCTTGGGGTGCAGACGACGCCAAGTATTTTCTTGCTCTGGCCGCTATCGGCGGCAGCACCAGCAGGCAATTACGAGAGGGACAAGACTTCATCGACGCACGCACACCTCACCGCGGTGACCACTAAAAGGCGTGCATCGAGGTCGACTCTCAATTTTTGGCCAACCTTCTCATGGATCCCCAGGCGGGCTACCAACGATTCACAGATGTGTTCGTGGGAACCGAGGGGCACCAAGAGTGATGTGCGGGGCCCCACGTGTGATAGTGCTTGTGTGATGCAGCACTCTCTCCTCTTCTTACTCTGTGTCTTCCCTCTCGCAGCGAAAACACACCATGTACTTCGAACCAGTGTCTCACCGCGGGTGAATACGCGGGGTATACCAACAGACAAGTGTCAATGATGAGTGTAAATACCGCAGAACGGAGGGTCACATGAAATGCGATCTTGATCATGATTGTGTGGGAATGGATGTTGTCGTTACTCGGGAGAGAAAGTTCTTAGCCACGTGCGACTCGAATTCACACGGCTCAGGGCGCGCAGATAGCCATGGTGTGGGGAAGGAAGGTAAAGGTTCTGTAGTGGGCCCTCAACAACGCCGGTTGAATAATGCCGCCGTGGCCCGCAGTAGCACCGATGACATTGCCGGGCACCGACTGAATCACCAAGTCATCCCGCTGTACATCATGGAATAGCGCCGGTCCCTCTGAATAGCGCCGGTGGATTCGCTGGGCGCATTCGGGCATTATTGAGGGGGAACTACTGCTGTATAGGTAGAACTCCCGATCGTTTCCCATACTGCTCTCTTTCAAGGTACACTCCACAAGGGGCGCAGCATCAAATCAACATTGTTGGTCGAAACATCAGCATGTCTGTAGGTGTACGGCGTGTGGAACACAAAAATTTATCGGAGAACTGGGGTAGATAGTCGGGTCTGCTGGATGGAGATCGTACGAGACAAAGTGCTAGCAACATTTTCACTATTCGGGTAGAAACCCCCTCTTGGCAGTGGTGCGGTCTGTACGTCTGTACCCTAAGTACTGCTGTAGATGCTTCGAGACAACGATGATTGCAGTTGTATAGAGTATACGTCATCATCATATCCCATCGGATGAAACGATCGCGTTGTCCATGTATTTCAACACCCCCCACCTGTCCGGTGCTGCTGCGTAAAGCAAGCAAACAGAGACCTCGCAGCACTTTGTACTTCTTGTGCCGCTGCATGCAACAAGTTAGAGATGGAAGTCAACATCGACACGCGCTAGGCGAAGGAGCAGCGGGCAACCGCCGTGTAGCGTACGCCTGTGCAGGGACCGACCGGTACAACTCTGGACCCGACCGGCAGTAGCGGGGAAACCGGCAGGAAAGCGAATCGGTTCCGTTCGACAGCAAACGTGATAGGCTTGCCGTCAGGAGATTCTAGTGCCCTGCTCGCGTAGGGCAGCGTCTCCGTCTACCACCCCACCTCTTTCAGCTGGTGCCGTCGTCGAGTACGCCGCCCTTCCTGTCGATGACGATGATCCCGGAAGCAGCACACCGGCAGCAGTAGTAGTAGTGCACGCCGCCGGCTGATGCTCTAAAGCCCGATGTTGGAGAGAGCGCCTCGGTGACCGTCGGCCAGCACGGCGCGCGATCACAACCGCACGTCCTTGGATCCCACGCACCACCTTCCTAGTGCCAAACATCGTCGCTTTGCCGTTCGTGAGGCTTGGCAATCTCCGATCTGAGGAGTGCTGTGCGCTGCTTTGCTGCTTCAGGAGACGTCGGCAGCGGTCCAACAGCTTGTACATACATCAGGGGGGTTGGGGGGGGTCGTGGGTTCAAGGCCGAAATCCGTCCGCACTGCACTGCTGTGTCGGGCTGTGAAGAAGTCTGTCAGCACCACAGGCCCTGCTGCGCGGGGATACTATAATAGTCCCCAATCATACAATTAGTAGTGTCAGGCTCCACACCCGCATAAGTCAACGCGGCAGCTCACTATCAAATCTGAGGCCGTTTTTATGGAACATCTCCCACGGACTACACGGCAGAACAGCGTCGGAGACTTAGCAGTTGAACAATGGCCGAGCCGACCTGCAGGCCCAACCCCATCGCGACGCTCATCCGACAAGGAGCCGAGGAGGCAGGCCGTTTGCAAGGCAGCTCCCGAGCGGCCACGAAGGTTCAGCGGATGATCAACAGCCTCCAGTGGCGACAGGTAAGGAAGGAAATGACCCGTGGTGTCGCTCCACGGCGGTCCTGCGGTGAAGTCAGGACTCTCGGTTGTTCAATGCGCAATTTCTCCATCTCTGTCGTCTCTGCCAGAAGCAGCACATGCATGCAAGCACATCCAAAGGTAGTGCATACACCATGACCATGATAAGCACCCACCAAATGGGCACATCCTGAAAAATATGGTGCACGTAGCACCAATGTATGGATTTTTCCATCCAAGTTGCGGCAGTAGCATCAGGAGGCCTATCTACGTAACATGCTGTGTAGTGGACGAGAACTCCAGCACGACTGATCACGATTGTTCTGTATTTTACTACCTACGGTTAGCGCCCGCACTCAAGAACTTGGCAATTGAAGGATTGAGCCTCGAAAAACTCTAAATCTGAGAACTTGAGCACCATTTGTGGGCCTTACACTAAATCCTATACGGAGTATATAGCGTCAATTCGGTAGACCCCACCCTCGGCCAGGTGCGTAAGTGCGGGCGCAACGTGTACATACATTTTTTTTACATTTCCCATCTCTTTCGCCAATCCACACGCTCTCTTGGCCGTGCATCTGTCCATGGCCGCCCCTCACCGCTGACGCCGCGCGACGTGGTCTACAGGCACACTCGAAGGACGATATCTATCCTCTACCCCTGGAATCGGGGGTCGTTCTCGAGTTCCGGCAGCTGCAAGCGGGGGAGGTAACCGGCCTCGGGACCGGGGCGACCGTTTGGCCCGCGGCGCACGTCCTCGCCAAGTACCTCGAGCGCAGGTTCGGTAACGACGGCGGGGGCGGAGGGCGACGGGGAGGGATGGAAGGACTTCGAGCTGTTGACCTTGGCGCCGGCACCGGCGTAGCGGGTATCGTGGCGGCGGCGTTGGGCGCGGAGGCGTTTCTGACCGACCAGGAGCAGCTCTTGTTCCTCATGCAGGAGAACGCGGACAGGGCGACTGCGGAGCGAGAGAAGCAGAAGGCGAGTGATGCCACGACCGCCGGTGTTGCTTGCGACGGGGTAAGAGTGCTGACGTACGACTGGGGCAAGGATGACGCAAGCCTGTCCCCCCCGGTGGACATCGTCCTCGTGTCCGACTGTGTCCTCCCGAAGCTCTATCCGATCGAGCCCCTCGTCGACGCCATCGACCGACTTTCCGGCCCCGACACCGTTACCATCATGTCCTACGAGCATCGACATTACCCGGAATTCGACCCCCGCCGGAGGTTCGAGGAACTGGCAGCCGCGAAAGGCCTCGTCAAAACGATTATCCCGCAGGCGCGACAACATCCCATATTTTCGGCAGACGACATCGAGATCTGGGAGGTGCAGCGGCGGCGGCAGCCACGGCAAGACGGAGCTTCTTGCCAAGCAAACGAAACAAGCTCCGCAGCTACCGAGGGCAGCACGCAAGCAGAGTCGGTGTTCGCAGAGATGCCGGCCAACGAGAATGAAGTGGTGATATTCTCTTCTCCGCCTACAACGCCTCCCTGTGATTCGTCGCGAGAAGACGAGACAGCGGGGTTGTCGGCGACGGAAGCACCAGGGGTCGCAGCAGCAGGGGCTGCTGAGGCGCGGACGGTGGTGGGCATACTCGGGGAGCGGCACGAGCTTACGCAGACGCCGTCCGGAGTGCTCGGGAGTTACCTTTGGCCTTCCGCCGTGGTCATGGCGCGGCATATCGTGTCCACAGCCCCCGGAATTGCTGCTGCAGTTTCACACGCAAGAGGATCCAGCAGCGATGGGGGCTCCCTCGAGAACTGCAGTGTTGGGCCGCCACCTTGTGGGGAGCCGTTGCATCGAGATCCCGCCCGAGTATCGGCTCTGGAGCTTGGGTCGGGGGTGGGGCTTGTGGCGATGACGGCGGCGCTGCTGGGGTGGGAGTTCGTAGCCTCGGACAAGGCCGACGCGTTGCCGCTGTTGGAGCTGAACGTGAAGCGGTGCGTGTCGTCAACGAAACGTGAGAGCTTGTTGTGCCTACGTAAGAGCTCGCCTCGTGTTTCGCTATCCGAACATTCCAGAGAGAAGAACGCCGTTTTCGTGAAGTTTCTGCTTGGGAGCGGCGCCGGCCCACTCTGCCCAAACCAAGTGTCCCCAAGACTGCAGTCGATGCAGTGAAAAACTTGTCCTGCTGTTACCTCGTGTTTTTTTGCCTACGACCCTCAACAGGGACGTGCGCTGGGACGGTGGACGTGATGGAGTACGATTGGGGTACGGACGCGAAACGTCTTCTGGAGGGTAGAAATAGTTCCGGCAGCGGCGATGGCACCAGCTACGATCTGGTGATCTGCGCGGACTGCGTCTACGCTAGTGCGTCGGTTGAACCTTTGCTGGCGAGCCTTTGCCAGGTGTGTATGATTTTCTTTTGCGTGTACGTTCGGTTGCAAACGATGTGCGTGCCAAACACTCGGCCTTGAGATGAATCTATTTTTGTGCGTTCAGGTGAACATCTACATACATGAAGAGTCCATGCTGTTGTGATTGGTCACGTTTGGCATGTATCGGACCTGTTCCGCAGTTGGGTTTTCCGTCACAACCACCGGATGAAATCGATTTTGGTTTGAAAACAACCTCTGCAGTGTGGTTGTGGCAAGGAAAAGTTGTCAATGCCATATCCTCAGAATACAGACACGAAAGAGGTTTCCACAGATACCTTGGCAATCGGAGATGGCACAGCTTGCGATCGTTCTTCAACTTTTATGACACCCCCATGCCAACTATCCTATACCCGTCCCAACTCTCCGATCCCGGTGCGGATTGTTAAGTCATCTCGTTCTTGTGTGTTGCCAGCAACCCCATACCAACTCTCCGGTCCGTGCGACGCTGAAGGTCGTCATGGCCTCATCGGGCGTGTGTAGTGTTCGTGCAATAAGCAACGATACACGACCACAGCAGTGGCTTGCGTCCAACGAACGCCCCATGACTATTCCTCCCGATATTGTCCAACGCGACCGCCTAACGCAACACACCGACAGGTATGCGACGACAACACAGTCGTCCTGGTGACCAACGAGCTGAGGTCGGCGTTCGACGAGTTCGTGCGAGGGGCGAGGGTGCTAGGCTTCCAGGTAGAAGACGTGCACGTGCCCGAGGCTCAGATGGTGGTCGACGCATCCACCAATCAGCGCCCCAAGCCTGTCGCTCTCAAGCGCTTGCGGCGAGGACCACCGCAGCCTTCGCTTATCCCTTGACAAGGGGATGGTGGCCACGCTTCAGGAGGGACGTGTTTCGTGGGATGGGGACAAGAAATGTGAAGAGACGAGGATCCACTCGATTGCCCCGGTTTCGGCGTGATCTTGTAATCCACTCCTGCACTTCCGTGCGCCGTGGTATGTGTTGAGGGAAGCGGCAAGCATGTTGCTGCGAAGTTTTAAGCCATCGGCCACTGACGTTATTTCGTGCGCCAGACGGGGGCCGCCACCAACAGCAAAGTGTGCCTCGTTGCTTGAGCAATCTCGCTCCCTCCCGGCGATGTTTGCGTCAACCAACCGCGGCGCCTACCACTGTGTCTGTCCTCGCTGCTGGACCGCAACGCTGTCCGCGGTCTGCGTGTGGCTTCTTTGCCCAGCCGTGTGCTCGTGCTTGGTTGCTGAACACGTGACCACGTGCTGCCAGAAACCCCTTGGAACGTTTCTCATGGTCCAGTAGGAATGCAATGGAGAGGCACGGCTGTGCTGCGTGTTCCCTCACACCCATACACGGCTGCTGTGTGTTCGTACTTTGTCGCTGGCCACCCCGCCGCGGTGCGGCTCGATGAAAGAGCACGGGATTATCTGCTGGGATTTTTGTGGGGTTGCATTCTGTATACAAAACGCAAGAGGAAGGAGCAATACTGGCTTAGGACTGGCTTAGGACACCACGGCACACGAAGCATACAAAGTAGGGCGCACTGAATCTGAGTTGGTTGTGTCACATGAAATCATAGTCAAGGGCGCAGATTGTGCGACCGCAGACGTATTTTTTCCTCCAAACAGCCTGAGATTGGCGACAGAGATGAGCAACATTTTCGCACGAGCGAAAGAGGCGCAATCACCTACACAAACCGTCCAGCATTGCTTTGTAAGTAGAGTTTCGCAACGAGAAAATCGTTGAAGCCGACTAAACAGCAGTGAAAAGGACGGCACCTTGCACCACAACCCCAAGGTGATTATTTTGGTCCTAATCCAGCGCTATGGAACAGTGAGCACGGCTGCCCGAACACGAGGGAGCCGGAAATAGCAAGTACGATAGAGTCCGCGCAACAAGGCGCAGGTAATGTTCTTCGGCGGGGCCTTACAAGGATAGCCAAGGCCCGATGCGAGTGCTACTGCTTCGAAGAGAAACAATCACGTACGATGCAATTGGTTCCGCGTACTCTCTCGAGCAATGTGCTTCCAGCACGTGGTGTGCATTGGCTCTGTATCAGGGCATCAATGCGTTTCGTTAGTTTTTTCATGGACTACTACGCGGACAACAATCCACCCATTTTTCAATGCAATACTTGGAAGGGTACTGGTACATTTGATGGCTACAATCCCCTCTTGATGAGATGATACAACGAGCTGGGCCCCGCCCTGCCTGGGCTATCCGGTCGCAACAGGCCCTAAAACGTTCCTCCAAGGAAGAAACGCGCCGCGGGCCCGCTGCGGCCACCGCTACTTCTGCGCTACCTCCCGCCCGAAGCGCCGGCGGCGGCAGGGTTTGACGGCCAGACCTGTTCCCAAGCGATCACCTAAACTATGCATGCTTGTATGTACCCAAACTGACAACGACGTGTCTAGCAAGACGGCGTCAGTTTCATCAGTTCCACGGAGAACAGGAATACTTATCCGATGGTCTCGGGAAATGTTTTACAAGTGAGTTCCCAGCCATCGGAACGCGTCTGGATAGCCTTCTCCTTTCAGCACGGACGTCACGAACGTCTTGATTGGTCTCCTGGCTTCCAATCGCGCCAAGTCCAACTGCTCTCGACCGATAAGGACGGGGGGGCGGCAGAGTGCACATCGGGGTAAGTACCGCTGTGGGTTTGGCCGTGCATCATCTTGTCGTCGTTACAAGCAGCAAGCAACGTCTGGCTTGACGCTCCATGGGTATTTCGTGTCCCTAGACAAAGTCAACCAAGAGCGCGCAACGACCACTGTCGCAGGAGTGACCTAAGCGCACTTGTACAATACCCACGTAATACCTACACAAGTATACCAGGTGTTCCGTATCAGCTACAAATACGGTGCCCTCGAAACGAAAGGAGTCACAAGGCTGACGCAGGCGCTTGCGACACACCGGGCTAGATCGCAAGCAAGGCGCGGGGAAACCAAACGCGAAAGATTAGAAATACGGCTGCTGGCCTCTCTTACCATCCCCTCGAGCTTCTCTGCCGGCCACGCGTCCGGCAAATCGCTCTTGTTGTACAAGACCGCCACTGGGACGCCATCCAAGTTCGCCTGGCGGGGGGGGGAGGGGGTCATTTTCGGGTACCGGAAGGAGGTACTGTAACGGAAGGAGGGAGGGGCTTACTCTTCGTTGGGACAATCGACTTTCCTTCCCAACTCTCTCGTAACTCAGTCCGTCGTGTATACGCCTTCAGCTTTCGTGCAATTCCTAGATCGGGTGGTCCACTGCTGTGCCATGATCGTAAATTACACCAACATCTTTGGCTGTGGCACGAAAACTCACATCGCTCAACATCTCCGACAGCTCCCAGTGCGCCTCTTCCAACCGCTCCCCGTCCGCGCTGTCCACCATGAAGACAATGGCGTGGCTATCGCTCAGGAAATCGAACCACAGATAGCGCACCGCCTCGTGTCCCCCCAGGTCCCACGCCTATCACCGAAGAAACAAAGAGGAAAACGCATAAGCCTGAGGTCCCGTGCCTATCACCAAAGAAACAAAGGGGGAAACGCATAAGACTGAGGCCCCATGCCTGTCAGCGAAGAAACAAAGAAGAAACGCATAACACTGAGTATACAGACTTGTAAATTGCTCTTTTTGTGAGGTTCGCTGGGCGCTTCGAGCCGAAAACATGTCAACTGTGTGAGCTGTTCGAGCTTGGGAAACGTCACTGCCAGCTGATTCACACCAATATCTTGCATCACGCCTTGATGACATTACCACTACAAGTATGCTCTGGATGAGCCCACTCCGGAGGCGCGCCCCGCATATGCGACATTTGTTCTCCAGACTGGCGACGCCGCCCCAGCCAATTCAGCGAAGGACTGACGAGGAGAACAGACTGCTGGAACCGCGTCGCGATTCGGAAGCCAAACAGCGCGCTCGTTTGGTTGCGTCCAACAAGCAGCGGGAGCAGAGTCTTCGGTTCAGAGCCGTTGGACGGTCGGAGCCGGCTTCTCGCGAGCGGCCTGTACCGTTGGGGCCTCTACTTCGTCCCCCGCCCCGGCGGAGATGCCTCCGCGGCCGTTGCAGTCTCCTTGTCTGTCTGGCGCTTCCGCGGCCGACATCGGCGCCCGTTAAACTCGGCCATAATCCTATCCGGCCGCCGCTGGGAGTCCCGTCACCAGATCAAGCGCGCTCTCTCTCTGGCGTTTCGGGAAGGGCACTCCGTGCTAGCGCGCGCGGGCTTTCCCACCCACAAATCACAACCAACCACGAGGGCAGCAAGGGCGGCGTGTGTACTGCATGCGCCATGCTGAGGAAGGCATGTAGCCTGCAGTACATGTCAACCTTGATGCCGTCGAGGGTGACCGTGATTTGTGCGAGAGAAACTCGTGCCCGCCGACACCAAGACCCCTCCTAGAAACGCAAGGAAGAACGCTCTTGATCTTGTGACGGGGCTTGCAGCGGCGACCCGCACACGTAGGATTGAGGCGAGCTTAACGGGCGCCGATGTTGGCTGCGGAACCTCCAGACAAACCAGCGGAGGCATCTCCGCCGGGGGGGGGGGGGGGCCATAAGGCCTGGGGGGACCGGAGCAACTGCCCCAAAAAAGAACCCGGCTCCCCCGGGGAAAAAGATTTGCCCTTAGGGCA